TTTCTTTCTTTCTTTCTTTCTTTCTTTCTTTCTTTCTTTCTTTCTTTTTTGGCAAAGATACTCAAGTGGTTTGCCATTTCCTTCTCCAGTGGATTAAGGCAAACAGAGGTTAAGTGACTTGCCCAAGTTCATACAGCTAGGAAGTTTCTGAGGCTGAATTTGAACCCAGTTCTGCCTTACTCCAAGCCTGGCACCTCTATCCTCTATGTCACCTAATAGCCTCGGAAAATCCTAGTTACACTTATTTAAATGGTCATGAAATCTTTTCTATTGATAGTACTGCTAGCCTTGAAGTCTTCTGATTTTATATCTGTCATCCCCCACACTTCTCTCTCTCTGTCTCTGTCTCTCTGTCTCTGTCTTTCTCTCTGTCTCTGTCTCTCTGTTTCCCTCCCTCTCCTTCATTCCCTATAGGCAATCAGTTGATAAGTGTTTTCCATTCAGTTCCATAGTATCTCTTCCTCTGCTCCCTCTGTCCACTCACAAGACCACTTCCCTGGTCCTGGACATCATCAGTTTTGGCCTGGACTATTACAACAGCTTTCTATCTGATCTCCCTGCTACAGACCTCTCTTTACTCCAATCTATCTTCTGTACAGCTGCCAAAGTGATTTTCCTTAAGCACAGGACTGTCCATATCAATCCTATACTTAATAAGCTGCAGGGATCCCCTATTACTCTAGGAAAAAAAAAACTGTGCTGACATTTCAAGTCCTTCTTTAGAATGTGGTTCCAACCTCCCTTGATTATTCTTTATTGCTCCCTGTTCAGCCAAACCCTAATTCACAAACAGTTTTCAAGTATTTGGAAGGCTGTTCTGTGTCAGTCACTCAACCAGCAGCATTTATTAGGTGACTACTGTTTGCCAGGCACACAGTGCTGGATGAATGTGTCCTGCTTGGTCCCAGGAGACAGAACTTGGAGAACAATAGGGGTATTTAATTTTTCTGTAATTATTCTCTATATTTATTCTGTATTTCCATATATACACACATACATATGTATGTGTATGTATATGTGTGTGTGTGCGTGTGTGTTTGTGTATACTCATCTTCCATGTTGGAATTTGTAAGCTCCCTGTGAGAAGAAATTATTTAATTTATTGGACTTATAGCCCCAGTGCTTAGTGTAGTGGCTGGTACACAGTAGACACTTAATAAATCCTTGTTAATTGATTTTTTAATAGTGGCAAAGAGGCCAGTTTAGGCTTGAAGTTAGGGGGGAAAGCCAATAACTTCCTAACAATTAGGGTTGTCCTAAACTGGAATGGACTTCCTCAGGAGGTAGTGAATTCCCCGTCACTGGAGATCCTGGTCGGGGGTATTGCAAAGGGCTATACAAATTTTTGTTGTTATTGTTCAGTAGGTTTTTAAGTCATGTCTGACTCTTCGTGACATCATTTGGGGTTTTCTTGGCAGAGATACTGGAGTGGTTTGCCATTTCTTTCTCCAGCTCATTTTACAGATGAGGAAACTGAGGCAAACAGGATGAAGTGACTTGCCCAGGGTCACACAGCTAGTAAGTATCTAAGGCCAAATTTGAACTCAGGAAGATGAGTCTTCCTCACTCCAGGCCTGGTGCCCCATGCACTATGGCACCACCTAGCTGATATGCAAATGTTAGCTATTAGTATTTGAAATCTTAAATTAGAAAGGAACTCAGAAATTGTCTAATACACATAGATCAAGAACCCCCTTTATATTGGGGATGACTAGGTGACACAGTGAATAAAGTGCTAGATGTAGAGTTAGGAAGGCCTGAGTTCAAATTCAGCCTCAGACACTTTCTGGGGGCGGAATATGGGGAGGGGGGGTTGATGCAGTGAAAAAAGACACAGGAGCAGGGGATCTAGGAAACTGGATCCTGTGTGGAGCTGAGGTGAGGCAGTGCCTGACAAGCCTAGCGGGAACAGGTCAGGACCAAGGATAGGGTATCCAGGGTCTCTGGCCACTGAGCTCCTATTCCATGTGTCCTACTGATCTCTGGCAGAAAAGTAGGTTTCCTAATCACATGCCAAGGTATGTATATAGTGTCTGGCTGTTTTCAATGGTGCTAATAGTCCCTGGATAGGTCTAACTAATTCTTCCCTCCCTCCCTTCCTCCTCCTCCTCTCTGTCTCTCTATCTGCCTCTGTTTGTCTCTCTCCTTTCTTCTCCCTCTCCTCCCCTCTCCTCCCCCCTCCTCTCGTCTCCTTTCCTCTCCTCTTCTCTTCTCTCCTCTCCTCCTTACTTTGTAGAACTCCAACTCAAGTCTGAAGTCTCATTGATCTAGCTTTCTGGCTTCAAACCAGCCTGTTAAAAAAAATCTGCAAAGCTGGTTGTGCAAATAATAGCATACACCACCAGATTTGATTAATTAACTGAGCAAAAAATGATGGGGGAACCAGTGAAGGAAATAATTATGCAAAACAAAATGTGTCAAGTTTATAAAGTGCCTTTCTCCTTCCTGCCACCCCAAGGGCTAAGTCTGTGCTCATTCTCCCCTTGATAGGGCTGAAGGGAATATGTAAATACCACCCAAACTCACCTACTTCCTAGCCCTGGGAAGGATTAAAGTAGTGAGGAGGGAGGGAGAAAGGTAAGGAGGGAGAGAGGCAGAGTTGTGGGGTGTGGGAAGTGGTATAAGAATAATAATAATAATTGACATATATCAGCATGCATACATACATACATATATACTTGCATGTGCACATATGCAATATACATATGTATGTGTATGTGCATGTAAAGCATATATGTGTACACATACACATATGTATGTGTGTGTGTGTGTGTGTGTGTATATATTAAAGCATTGTGTATTTATTAGGAAGTGGTCGAGGAAGTTCCCCAATCTGTTTGAATGAGGCACCTACCATGGAGCTGACCATGAGTGCTCTGACTTTATGGGATCTCCCATCATGCCAAGCTACAAGAAAGGTGCTTTATTCTAGCAGGTCAGGGAGGTTTCCCTGATTTCCTCCTATTATATATATAATGCTTTACGGTAGACTTTGAGAAGCATTAAGGCACAGTGGTCAGAGTGCTGAGCTTGGAGATCAGAAAACCTGGATTCAAATTCTGCCATTATGTCTACTAGTTGTATGACATGGATTAAATCATTTCACTTCTGTGTGCCCAGGGAAACTCCTTGGAATTTATCTACTAAATCATCAGTGAGTTGTGATTTATATTGGTGGAGAGAGTTCCACACTGGGAGATCCCCTGCCCTTACTACCAGGTACGTTTAAGGTTTGCAAAGTGCTTTACAAACCTTATAATTATTGGAGCTTTGTAATAACCTGGAGAAGTAGAAACAATTGGCATTATATTATCCTTGAGTTTCAAATAGGGAAACTGAGGCTCAGAGAGATAAGTTTCTGGCCCAAGGTCACACAGGCTGTATCCTAAGTGGAGTTTGAATCTAGGTCTTCTTCACTGTAGGTCTGGCACTCTATCCACTCTGCCAGGCTTCCTCTTGAAGGAACATAGTGGGGCAGCTGTCCAAGGTTCAGGCAACTGAGGTGAACAGGATGGAGAAGCACGGTAATGAGCAAACAGCCAACTGTCCACTTGTGGCAGAATTCTTCTCCTGCCCTCTGCCTGTGCCTTTCCCCCTTCTTTTCATACAATGATAGGACTCAGGTAGAGTATGTGTTCCTTGAGACCTGGGACTGTTTCACTTTTTATTATTTTATTCTCAAGGCTTAGCACAGTGCCTGGCACATAGGATAAACTGAATCTGTGATTTCAGTGATAGAAGGAACTTTCAGGGACTACCTCTACCACTGCAGGTCAGCCCCTGCCCTGGGGCTGAGAGTCTCTGAGAGTTTCCTAGGGCAATGAGAGGTTTAATTGACTTGCTCATCTGGGGTCACACAGTCAGTATGTGTGAGAAGCAGCACTTGAACCCTGGTCTTTCCAGCTTAGAGGCCAACTCTCAGACCATACAGCCACTATATTTGGTATATAGTAGGTGCCTTAATGAGGGCAGCTAGGTGGCACAGTGGGTAGAGAACCCAACCTGGAGTCAGGAAGACTCATGTTTCTGAGTTCAAATCTGGCCTCAGGCACTGACTAGCTGTGCAACCTTAGGCAAGTCACTTCACCCTGTTTGCCTCAGTTTCCTCATCTGTGAAATGAGCTGGAGAAGGAAATGGCAAACCACTGAAATATCTTTGCCAAGAAAACCCCAAAGGGGGTCATGAGAAGTCAGACACAATTGAAATGACTGAACAACAACAACAAAATGTGCCTTAATGAATGCTTGTACATTGATTGATTGATTGATTGGGAATTGGAAGGGGCCTTAGGGATCTTGGTGGGGCCTTAGGCTCAAAGAATTAGGGCATTTCAGAGCTGGAAAAGATCTCAAAGTCCATCGAGTTTATCCTGTACCTGTCCAAGAATCCCTTTTCTAACAAGAGGTCATATAACTTTGACTTGAAAACCATCAGTGAGAGGAACCCTACTAGTTGCTGAAGAATTCCATTTTACTTGTGGAGAGTTCTTTTTAAAGGGTTTGAATCTCTAACAGATAACGCATAAGTGCTTAAAAGTAATTTCAAAGAAAAAATGGCAAGCTATTAATAACCATAGGCAAGACTGTACCAATTCACTAACAATAAGAGATGCAAATAAAAACAACTCTAGGGTTTTGCCTCACACCCAACAAATAAGCCAATATAAAAGACAGAAAAGAAGATAGATAAAAGATAAGATAGAAATTATCAGTGTTGTATGTGTTATGGGAAAATGGGCACATTGATACACTGTTGGTAGAGCTGTGAATTGGGCTAAATATTCTGGAAAACAACTTGAAATTATGTGAGAGAAGTCACTGTTCATATCCCAAGAAGGTCAAAAATAGAAAGAAAGGTCCTACATATAACAAAATATTCATAGTAATGAACAAAGAAACCGAAAACAAAATGAGAACCCATTGATTTGGGGATGGTTGGGCAAGTTGTATTACATGATGAAAATAATGGGTTATTATTATGCTGTAGGAAATGAAAAATGTGAGGCATTCAGAGAAACATGGGGTGACTTGTCTGAACTGGTGCATATTAAAGTAAGCAGAACTGGAAAAACAACATACACAGGAACTAAAAGAATGTAAATGAAGAGAACATTAACACGAAACTGAACTCTATATATTTGTTGTAAACCATCTCGGCCCCATAGAAGAGATGAGGAAATGTACCTCCCTCCTCTTGGAGATGTCAGGGAGTATGGGTGCAGAATGGTGCATACACTGCCAGATGTAGTCCCAAGTGTTGATTGGTTTTGCTTAGCTGTCTATGCTAGTTAAAAGGTAAGGCTTCAACAAAAGGCATCAGCAAAATTTTTTAAAGGAAAAAAAAATTAAAAGGACTCTGGAAATCCCAGAAGAAATCAATGAATGAAAAGCTTCTATTAAATGCTTTTTATTCGACAAGCACTAAGCTAAGCGGTGGTAATACAAATACAAAAGCAAGATAGCCCCTGCCCTCATGGAGCTTATATTCTACCAGAGTCCTAACATTGTATGAAAAGAACCCAAGTCCTTTGAATTTAATTCTAGAAATCTTTCCACTCTGTGATGCTGCCTCCCCAAGAGACCACAGCTACTCCTTCCACATCATAAGGGTTAGGGGCATGGTGCTTCCCTATCCCAACCTGGATCTGGAAAATCCACGTAAAATTTTTTGGCCCTCCCTTTGTACCAGAGAAAAAGGATTATTATAGTATTATAAGATAAAATATGTTGACATTATACAATATTATACACATATTTTATGCATTTCTGAATTTCTAAACTTTTTCTGTGTCATCTGCAGCTTCCACAAAACTCTTCCAAAACTCCCATTTAATTTCTTATACTGACCCACAATATATCAGTACCGCTATGGGTGAAGTTGCGATGTGGAAGGAACAATCGCACTCTTGACCTTTGATAGAGACCTCAAGATCAAGAATGGAGAAGGAGGTAAGAGGGTGGTGAGCCTGCTGGGAGTCAGGGGGTAAGAGAAGCTTACCATTTACCAGCCTCTGCATCCCTGTAGTCCTCAATTGCCAGTCGGAGCTTTCGGCGGTGCAAGGAGCTGCACACGCCAAGGCCGGTCTCCAGGTCTTCATCACTCAGACTCAGCAGCACCTGTGCCCAGGAGACAATGGGAGCTCAGGTCCCAGTGGGACTCTGGGGGCCCTGTTCTGGTCCCCTCCCAGGCTACAGAGAGGCGTCAGTCTCAGTGGGTATCAGCAATATGGCCCTCCCAGCTGGCCAATGCGTTTCCACTTTGCAAAGTCCAATCACAATTATGATTTAATTATATTTTTGCCACAACCCTGAGAGTAGCTTATAATTTAGATGTAATAAGATAATAATGATACGATATGATATAATATGATATAATACAATATAATGTAATATAATTTAACATAATGGAATGTAATACTATATATAATATAAATAATAATGTGATGTGATAAATTATGATATAATATAACATAATATAATAGCTTATAATTACTTTACATAATAATGAGTAGGCCTTGAAGGTAGGTAGGTCATGGGGGGACTAGATTTAGAATCATGGTTAGAATCTTGCCTCAAATGCTTAAGTAGCTATTGGACCCTTGGCAAGTTACTTAACCTCTCTAATGACTCAGTTTCTTTATCTGTAAAATGGGGATAATAATAGTACCTACTTCACAGGGTGGTTTTGAGGACTGAATCAGATAATATGTGAAAAGTACTTTGCAAAGGTTAAAGCACTTTACAGATGTTTATTGTTATTGGCAGCTTAGGTGGCTCAGTGGATAGAGTGCTGGGCCTGGAGTTAGGAAGACCTGAGTTCAAATCTGGCATCAGATACTTGCTAGCAGGATGACTCTGGGCAAATCACTTCACCTCTGCTTGCCTCAGTTTCCTCATCTGTAAAATGAACTGGAGAAGGAAATGGCAAACCACTCCAGGATCTGCCAAGAAAACCCCATATGGAGTCATGAAGAGTCGGGCATAACTGAATAACAACATTGTTGTTATTATTAACATGAGGATAATAATGGTACCTACTTAATTGGGTTTTTTTGAAGATCAAATAAGATAATATTTGTGAAGTACCTTGAAAATCTTATAAATGCAATTATTATCATTATTGATGATGATAACAATTATAATACTACTACCACTACTACTACGAATCCCGTCTTACCAATCATCGGGAGACAGCTGCATAGCCCAATGGATGCCAATCAATAAAAGAGCTGTCATTGGAGCCAGGAAGACCTGGGTTTAAGTCTTGCCTCTGATTCATCCCGACATCTGTGGCCCTGGGCAACAGGACTGGTCCTGTGTGACTCGGGGCTCTAGGCAACTTCTAAGACTATAAATTGCTAAGGAGGGGCCAACCTGCACTGGTGGATGGAGTTTCCTCACCTGAGAATTCCCTATACCAATGAAATCACAGGATTGGTGCAAAAAAAGAAAAAAAGGATCTTTGTTTTTATTTTACAGATGAGGCAATCAGGGCCCAGACACATGAAGAGATTTACTCAAGGTCACACAGCTGGCAAATTATAGGCCAGGCACTAAGAAGCTTCTTATAGCAGTTCTCTTTCCAATATATTTTGCTTCTTCGTCCAGGCTGGGTATGGGAGATGCCATTAATGTCCATTTTCTAGGTTAGAAAGACAAGGCCTTGTTGCAGGTTACACAGTGAGTTAATGAGAGAAGCAGGCCTGAAACCCAGGTCTCCCAGTCTTGCATCCATTTGTATCATGAGGCCATGTAGCCCTTCTAAGGAAGGAAAGCTTCTGAGGGAGGAAAATTGTTCCATGTATAATGTGAGCAGCAGCAGCTCCTATTTAAAAAGTCAGCTTGGGGAGCAGGAAAGGCCCTTAGCACAGCCCCTTCATTTTATTTACATATGGAGAAACTGAGGCCCTGAGAAGGGGGGGGGTGAATTCCATGGCTAATAAGTGACTGAGCTAGAGGAATTTTGGTGTTCCTACCTTCCCACTCTTCACGTTCTCCGAGCAGGCCTTGACATACATGGGCATTGCCATGACCACCTCCAGCCAAGTCTGGACGGTCCCTGCTTTCCAGTGTGACATGGGGGTGGTTCGAACCAGCTCCACCTGCTGTAGTCGGTCCATCTGCTCCTCTCCTTCCGACAGGCTGAGGCGGGTTGGGCTGGACAGGCTGTCAGAGTCTGAAACACACAACCGTGAGGGAGACGCTCATCTTGGAAGCCAAGACTGAGAGCTGGTATCTGCCAAGGAGCTGGGGTAAGAGGGTGTGTGTGTGGCGGGGTTTCACAATGAGCTCCCTCTCTAGAAAACGGCATCTCTGCCATCCCCAGTGGTCTCTAAGGCCCCTTCCAGATCTGAGGTTGTTACTCTATAATCAAAGAATAAAGAATGTCAGAGATGAAGAGACCTTAGTACAGAGAATGCCAGATCTGGGAAGGACCTTAGAACATGCAGAGTCAGAGCTTAGAACATAGGGTATTAGAACATAGAATGTCACAACTTAGAGGGATCTTAGAACATAGAATGTAATGAGACCTTTAGAACTGATTATTAGAACTGGAAACATGGGATGTTAGAATGTCAGAGCTAAGAGAGAGACCTTAGACCATGGAACATTAGACCTGGAAAGGATGTTATAACATAGATTGTTAGAGCTGGCAGGGGCTTTAGAACACAGATTGTTGGAACATAGAGTTGGGAGAGACCTTAGAAATCATTCATTTATTCCTTAAATTTACAAATGAGGTCCAGAGAATAAAACTTGGCCCAGGAGCACAGAGAATGACTAATTGGCAGTGACTGTACACTTTGAGAAACAAAATGAAATTAAAATTGTTTCTGATGATTTTAGCAGAATAAACCAAAAAAGAGGGGGCAGTGGGAAGAAGGAGAGGAGAAGAGAGGGAGTGAGGGAGGGAGAGAGGGGAGAGAGAGGGGGAGAGGAAGAGAAAGTGTAAGGGGAAAAGAGAGAGAAGGAAGAGAAGGATGGGGTAGAGGGTTAATGTGGAGAAGGAGAAAGGAGGAGAGGGAAGAGGAAAAGAGGGGTGGGGAAGAAGAGAGGAGAGGAGGCTGGAGAGGGGAAGGGGAGAGGAAGAAAGGAGAGGGGAAGGGAGGAATAGGGAGGGAGAGGCAAAGGGAGAGGAGAGAAGAGAAGAAAGGAGAGGAGAAGAGGGAAGAGAGGACAGGAGGGGAGGAGAGGGAAGGGAAAAAAAGAGAAAACTACTTTTTACCAAACTACACAGAAACAGGAAACAGAAAACATCAGAAATCTATGGAAAATTATATGTATGTATGTATGTGTATGTATATATGAAAAAGCAAATTGGCTTAGGGAGGCAGTAAGCTAGGAGCAGTGAGCAGAAGGGATTCCTGGGAGTGGGGAGAGGCAGAGAGGACCCCAGGGCAAGAGAAGAGACATCCAGCACCAGGCCTGCCTGGGATTCCCTTCCTCTGCACTCTGAAATCCAGCTCTGCAGCCTGACTTTGCTTTGCAGAGGAAGAGCTGCAGGCCTGATTTTTCAAGAAGCTCACGCCAGGTTGCAGGGGCGTTGCCATGACACCCACTCCCTCCTTCCCAGCTAGTCAACTGTGCCTCCCTGAGTAGGTGAGGGCCTGATCAGAATCACCTGCTAAGGAAGCCCATCTCTAGACCCTGGGGACGATAGGGCCTGTGCCCCAGGGAGCCTGGAGGGAACTTGTCCTAGAAAATCAAACTCACAGCATTTTAGAGCAGCAAAGGGTCTTAAGGACACTAGTTCATAGGGGTTACAGCTGAAAGAGTCCTCCCCCCTAACTCTTACAGATCCAGCCCAGATCAGGGAGTCAGGAGATCTGGGCTCTGTCACGAACTCATTGTGGAAGTCAATTGACTTCTCTGCACCCCAGTTTCCTTATTTGTAAAATGAGGGGTGGGGGTGGTGGAAAACAATCAAAACAATGCTTCAAAATGATTATAGCCAGGCTTGTTCCCCAAGAAGAGCCGTAGGAAGGTTCATCCCCCTCACTTCTTTGCAAAGGTGGGGGACCCTGGATAGAGAATACTGCATGGAGCATCAGACTAACATCAGTATGTTAGATCTGCTGAACTCCCTGCCCCTCTCCATTTATATTTTAGGGGATGGCTTTCTGGGAGGAGGGGAGAGAGTAGGATGAATATAGTGGGAAATACGTGAAATGAAAACAAAAGATATCAATACAATTAATTTTTTTTAAATGAGGAGATTGGACTAGATCAGGATTTCTTAACTTTTTTTTGAGACATAGATTCCTTTGTCAGTCTGGTGAAGTTGATGGACTGCTCATAAAGATGTTTTTAAAAGCATAAAATAATATACATAGGAAATAGAAAGGAAATCAGTTATTTTAAAATACTTATAAAAATATTTTTTAAAAAACCATACGCCACCCCCACCTCCAGGTGAAGAATTTTTAGGCAATATGATCTCCAAGCTCCCATCTAGGTCTTAAATTCTATGAATTACTTAGTTATGGAGTACTTGTCCTTTGAGAAAACTAGAAAGAGTTAGCATGAGGCAAACATGATTATTCTAAGGGATGTGAATTTTATAGGAATGCATTTGCTATGAAAGCTCCCATGCCTTCCTTAAGAGTAGATCATATCAGACTAACCTCATTTCCTCCCTTTTTTTGACAAGGGGGTTTACTAAGCTGGTAAACCAGCAGAATCCTAATGATACAGGTCACCACAGATTTTAGCTAAGCATTTCACATAGTTTTTCCACATTATACTGGAAAAGATGGTGAGATGAGGCCTGGTGGATAGGACAATTAGAGGGTTTCAGAAATGGTTGAACGTCTAGGCCACAGAATGCTGTCATGTTTCCCCAGGTCAACTAGGCCCCTCCAGTAGCATGTCCTAGGGATTTGTTCTTGGCCTGGTGCGGTTCAAATTTTTATTGATGACTTGAATAAAAATATAGAAGTCAGGCTCACCAAATGTGCCAATGACACAGAACTGGGAGGAAGAGATACCACAATGAATGTCAAAATCAGGATCCCAAAAGATCTTGACAGGTCAATACATTGAGGTGGAGTCAATAAGATGAAATTTAATAGGTGTAAAGTCTTATACTTGGGTTCGAGAAATTGACTTCACAAATATAAGATGGGGGAGGTGTTGTTAGATAACAATTTATCTGAAAAAGATCTGTGGGTTTCAGTGGACTGCAAGCTTAATGTGAGTACAGTCTCTGGCCCATGGGAGGCACATAATAAATACTTGTTGATTGAGTCAACTGTGAAATATGGTGGCCAAGAAAGATATTGAAATAATAGTCTGTACCTGAAAGGCATAATGCACAGGATGAAGGAGATGATAGTTCTGTTGTCCACCCTGCTTGGACCACATCTGAAGTCTTATGTTCAGTTCTGTCACCATAGTCAGGAAAAATGGGGGAGGGGGTATCCAGGGGAGGCCAACCAGGATGCTGAACAGCCCTGAGTCCATGACATAAGAGCATTAGCTGATATAAGAGCATCAGCTGAAGGACTTGGGCATGTTTAGCCTGGAATAGAGAGGACTCAGCAGGGACATGATGGCTATGGTCAAGTATCTGTAAGGCTCCCATGTGGAGGAAAAATGAACTTTTTCCTATTTGGCCTTAGAGGGCAGAAAAAGGAGCAAGGAAAGCCTGTTTGGGCTTAATGTTGGGAAAAACTTTTTCCCAGTTAGAGCTGTCCCAAAGTGGAATGGGAGCCTAGAGTGGGGAGGGGGTTCCCCTTCACCTGAGGTCTCAAGGCATAAGTTAGATGACGCTTACTCATTGGGAATGCGGTAGGGGGAGGGTGGTGCTGTATGGGCATCCCCACGCTGAAATTCAGAGAATACTGCCTGGAGTCTGGAAATATTTTGGTCATGGAAAACAAATTTTCTGTTGAGGAATCTGACCTATTTTCTATGATGTATTTCGTTCAGAAGTCTCGTCTTCCTTACAGAGAGAGAGTCAGGTCCCATGTTATTAATCCCAAATGGAAAAGAGTGTTTGCTAGTTCACCTAGCAAGTGTGTGTGTGTGTGTGTGTGTGTGTGCACGCGTGTGTGTGTGTGTGTGTGTGTGTGTGAGAGAGAGAGAGAGAGACAGAGACAGAGACAGAGACAGAGAGAGAAAGAGACAGAGACAGAGAGACAGAGAAAGAGACAGAGAGAGAGACAGAGGCAGAGAGAGATAGAGACAGACAGGTACAGAGACAGACAGACAGACAGAGAGAGGCAGAGAGAGAGACAGATAGAGACAGACAGAGGCAGACAGACAGAGGCAGACAGACACACTCACACAGAGGCAGAGACAGAGAAAAGAAAGAGAGAGAAAGAGACAACCAGGAGGTACAGTTGATAGAGGGCTTGGAGTCAGAAAACCTGAATTCAGACCCAACTTCAGACCCTTATTAATTGTGACCCTGGGCAAGTCTCTTAACTTCTGTTTATCTCAGTTTCCTCAATTGTTAAAATAAGGTTAATAGCAGCACCTACCTCCCCGGGTTGTCCTGAGAACTAAATGATTAAATTTGTGAAGCACTTAGCACAGTGCCTGGAGCATAGCAGGTGCTAAATAAATCCCAGCTATCATCTTTGACTGGTCATTTGACCAGATTTCTTGCATTTGGCCCCTTCTCTCTACTCACACAGCCACTAACCCCCCTAGTCCAGGCCCTCATCACTGGCCACCTAGAATATCACATTAGCCTTTTAAGTAGTCTTAGTGCTTAAAATCACCTCCCACCCCCATCTATCATCTCCCACACTAGTAAAAGTGATTTTTCTAAAGAGCAAGTCTGAACATGTCAACCCCACCCTTTCCCAAATCAATAAACTCTAGTGATTCCCTATTACTTCCAGGATAAAACATCAGCTCTTCTGTCTGATATACAGAGCTCTTTACAACCTGACCCCACTCTAGCTTCCCAGTCGTGTTATACATGACTCCCTTCCTTAGACTCTATAGACCAGGCAAACCAACCTTCTTGCACCTTACACTACATCTCCCATCCCTATTCCTTTGTCCACATTGCTGCAGGTGTCTGGAATGTTCTCTCTCCTCATCTCTACTTCTTGGAATTCCTGGTCTCCTTCAAGGCTTAATTGAAATGCTGCTTTCTAAATAAAGTCTTTCCTGGTTCAAAAAGCTCCCAGTACCTTGCCCCGCAAGGTTACATTATATCTG